CAAACTTCTGAAAATGAATTCTTAAAACGTCTTTTGGATAACCAATTTTGTAGACCGTCACGCACTTGCACGGCTTTCGCAAGAAACCAGATTTTTTGAACATAACACGAGCTACAATGTAACCGAAAATTTGGAGATGAACTAACTGACGGTTGATAAATAGTGGGGGGCTCTTAAAACATTAAAGAACTAAATTACACACATCGCTGATCATTCATGTCGATCGTAAATGGGGTGGTTAATTTACAGCAAATTTTAAAACGCATAGGAATAAAAGCGGGCAATTTCCATGCTGACAAGATAGTATAAGCATACTTAATTTATGTCCGTAATATTTTAGAATTATTATAGAATTTAAGAGAAAGGAGTTTGTAATTTTATTGTTAAGAACACATGGTTTGAAGATACTTAATTTATGTTTGTTTGTTTGTAATTAAGCACAAGGCTACACAATGGGCTATCACCACGGGTATCGAAACCCGGATTCTAGCGTTGTAAGTCCGCAGAGATACCGCTGTGCCACTGGGGGGGGGGGCTTAACTTAAGTACGTAATATTTTAGAATTTTTATAAAATTTAAGAGAAGTTAGTTTGTAATTTTATTGTTAAGAACATATGGTATAACGATGATTAACTTATGTCCGTAATATTTTATAATTATTATAGAATTCAAGAGAAGTTAGTTTGTAATTTTATTGTTAAGAACATATGGTATAACGATGATTAACTTATGTCCGTAATATTTTATAATTATTATAGAATTTAAGAGAAGTTAGTTTGTAATTTTATTGTTAAGAACATATGGTATAACGATACTTAATTTGTTTAAGTAAACTTGTAGCACAATCATACGATGTTAGAGAAGAAACTACAGCACGCGATTTTCTCATGAAAAATACCATAAATATATGCTTAATTTATGACCGTGACGCAATGGTATTATTTCGGGATGAAAATATAGACCACATATACCAAATTCCGTGTTTGATAAACGTTTCCGCTATTCTATGAAGTAAGAGGAAAAGAAAACTTAGAGAAGAAATAATTAGTAAAAAAAAAACTCGTGGTAAAACATAACATAGCTGAATAAACTGTAAGACAGGAAAGTTCAGAGAGAGAGTTGGCTGGAGTCAAAGTTCTAAATTAGTATGTAACGTATGAGAGGTTTAATATGGGTTAAAAAAAAAAGCTGTCGCAGTCGGAGTTCTTAATTTCAGAACTCATTTTGTCATGTGTCAAGTCTCGTTGTGACGTATAACAAGCAGTAAATTTTCCTTTTAATTGAATCCGTCGGCACCAGGGGTAAGATGTCTAACATGAAGTAGCCAACGTGTATTTGATACTGAGGATCATATGGCTTGACAGCCAACTAGTTGGCTCTAATCTCCGGAATTCCAACCTATACAGCCGTCACCTCGGCTACCGAATCAATACGCTAGTGATTTATGAGTAGCCTGATAACGATGTTTTCACAATATGATCCTCCGCGGACTACTGGCCGTGCAGTTTAAACATCGTTTGTCAACCTGGGCTCGAAATCTTTAGCCACCATCCTGGTCGTACGTTTAATGTTACTCGGTTCTCTTTGAGCTTAATGTGTTCCATAATGACTTAGCTATTTAGCAGAAACTTTGAAGAGCACACCCTAATTCTGATGGTTTCCTTTATATTCATAGAAGCGTGTCATAACGAAGTAACTGTCCTTGTGACAACGTTAGATAGACGGCCATTGTAAAAATGGCAATTTTAGACTTAATTATGAACATAAAAAGACAATATAACGTATGAAACTATACGTATTCATGACAGTTCGGAAGCTCTCTAAGTCTGGAGGCTTTGATGGGTGATTTTTAAACATTCAAAAATGCTTCCCTTAGAATATTTCTGTTTTCTTCTTCTTCTTAAAGTAAATGTCTGGCATTTAAATATGATATACTTTCTTAGAAGTAAGTTATATAAAGTGAACGATAGCATTAAAGAGAGAGCGCGTGTTTTCCATTCCAACATTTTAAAAAACGAAATTTTTGGAGGAGATAAAAACAAGATTATAGCGAGTGATGAAGTCGTTGTGGGATTAAAAGCATTTTGCTTCAAAGGAGATTCTGTAATTTATATTACGTTTTACTGGCGTTTGCTTTTAAAATTTGCAAAGGATAAAATTTCTGAAAAATAATAGCTTTACAACAGTTTATTTTGTCACTTAAACGCAAACTAGTTTAGATTAGAAAATCAAAATATAAGGGTGCGAAATGTATAAGTTTCCACCCTTTAAGTAAAGTAAAAAAAATGAATTATAACACCTCACCTGAAAGTCATGTACCGAAGATTATTTCAAAGAAAAAAGCACTGGCTATATTATAAAAAAACATTTTAACCGATAGGTGGCGTGTCAGTTCACAATCCTTAGCAGGTCCATTATGTCTAAAATATACACTAGCTGTTCACGTGACGCTATTCACAAAAAGATGCTGGAAGACATCAAGATGTTTAGTCACGTGATAAATTAGTCTAAGAAATATACTGGAAGACATCAAGATGTTTAGTCACGTGATAAATTA